TGAACTATATTAGTCTGTAACGGTAATAGCTATAAAATATAATATCATAATACAATATCGTATCTATTAAAATAATTAGGTACTCGTATAGATTTATACTTATTGCCAAATTTTTAACAGTTAATATGAAAAAATGATGAGTATTAATATCATATAATAATATGATATTAATAATGTTCCTAAAACATTAGTCACCTCTAATATTAAAAAACTGAAAGTCATGTGTTCTGAATTTCATTAACTCTACTATGCGTTTAAGTCGTTGAACTGCACACATTTAGCGTTTTATTATTTATTGGCCATTGAAAACAAGCATATATTTATCCATTATGATAATTTACTTAAAATGGTAAATCCTTTAAAAGTGTTATTTATTTTCTAGTAAATAGTCTAATTCTGACTAACCAACTTTTGCCAACGTTATCGTTCAATATAAGTACACTAATAAAAGACGAGTTCCTTGTACATTTTTCAATATTTAATTTAAAAATAAAAAACTAGTTGGTCGTGTAATAGAAGTAGTTTAAATGTATTCAATACCAATCAATCTTTTTTTAATAACTTCGAAACACACTTTTGAACTTTCTGAGTTTATTCTATCATAGTATATTTACAAAATAACACTAATAATACTATGGTGTTGCTACAATGCCAAGTATAATGTAAAATTAATAACTCTTAAATTAAGAAAATATCGAATACGTATATTTTCTTACAATAAAATATATTTTAGTTTCAATTAATATTTATATGTATAAATGGTGCCTTTCTTTAACGCTTCGGCCTTTATTTTCAATTAAATATCTAGTTTAACAAACATAATCTTACCTCATATGGTTTAACAATATATTACCAACAATAACCAATACAGAATAAATTTGTTTTTTTCCATACATATGTACATTCGTCAAAATTGATGACAACTATATCTTATTGGTTTAAACCACATAAAACCATTGAGTAGCTTTTGAATTGTGATAGTTTGTGGTCTATGTAGATTCTAACTATAACTTAGGGTTCATAATGTCTTATTTTCGTCAATTCCTAGGGTGATTGAACTACTCCTATACCGCGCTTATATTATAGGCCATTCACTATAGTTTTTGTCTATTATTAAATTTATTATTGGTGTTAAGCAGACGTGTTTATAGTAAGAGAGTCAGACTATTTTTTAAGTTTGTACTCTTGCACTTTGTGCATTTGATGATTTAGATTATAAAAAGCAAATTCGTTGCTCCTATTTAAGAACAGTCAATATAGAAATTTCAGAAGAAATTATGATAGGCGATTTTGAGTAGTAAAATCGTCTGTTCTTAAAAACCTTATGTGTGCAGTTCGCACATCACGTCCCCAAAAGGATTTTCTTGTCCTAACCTAACGCAGGCGCTAAAAACAAATCTCAAACGAGTTACCAATTTTTTTTTTATTCCACAAATTCATAACAAGAATTTAAATTTGAAAAAACCTTATTAGACAAGATCTACCAAGAGCACGGATAGTGAGTACAATCGACTACAATATTAAGAAGTAGAAATAATTGGGTATAGATAACATATAATCAGAACATATAATTCAGTTACATTGAATTTATTTATTTATTTATTTAACGAGCATGATGTCCAATTATAATGAGGAAAAGTTAAATATGTTTTAAAGTAACAAAGAATTTTGTTTGTAAAAAAAAAATTTGGTTGTAATAGTAGGTATAGGTGCAATAATTTGATTGGGCATTGGACGGATCATGGAAGCCATTTGTCCTTATAAATTATAAAGTAACATTGTTGTTTTAGTTTGTGCTATTATCAAAACGTAGCCAATCATACATAATATGTGTATTATGTATGATTGATGTATTATGTATGTTAAACTCGATGCCTATACATGTATATATAATATATAACATATAAGTATAATACGTAGCAAGTTTAAAACAAATTAGTAAGGCAATTGGTATAAAACGATTAAAATAACATAACAACAAATCAGCAGTTGTGGATTAAATACTGTGAGATTTTTGGTCGTGAGATATGTTAGATTTTTAGTTTGATTACCTAACATTAAGAAAAAATAGGATAAACAGGTAAACTACTAATGAACGTGTAAAACGATGTCAGTGTCAACAACATTTTGTTCAATCAACATATGTTATCAAGATATTGAGCGGTATCATTAGATCGGCTATTTGATTATATTATTGTACTACACGCACTATTGAAGATAAAGCAAAAGAAGTTCATAATCGAATACTTGGAGTAACAACTAGTTATTTGTGTCAAAAATTGGGTTTTCATAGAAAAATTTCGATGGACATGTTATCTAAATTTTTAAGAAACAAAACGTAAAATTTGACTATTACTTACAATGATGATACAAAACGCATTTTCCTCCGCCAATTGCAGTAAATGGGATAAATAATTTTAATAAGATCGTCCCAAATAGTTTAAAAAATGAACATGTTTGGTTGTTGCATCCAATTCTCCAATTTGTTTTTATATTTGTCTAATCAATGGTCTGAAAATGAATTTTAGTCGCTCAAAAGCCCATTATTCGATATTAAAAAAAAAATAATAATTATTTTAAATTATTAATTTTAATATGTTTCTTAGACATAATATAAAATTTCAAGGACGTTTTTCATTGCTATTTAAAGTTCAGTTATTATAGTTTGGCAGTAACATTTTTTATTTCAGAAAATAATGTTTTGTTTAAAATTATTTTTTTAAACTAGTTATGATCATTTTTAATGAAAAATGTAAGATATTTTACATGTTTTTTTTATTTAAGAGAGTAGTACTAAAAATTACCCATTTTTACCCACATAGGTATTGTAGAGCAAGTATTCAGGATTCCAAAGTATAACACAAATTTACGTCAGACAAAAATTACATAGTGCACAATGCAAATAAGAAAGTACCATTATTTACTGTGATTTTTAATTTATTTTCAATACTATCTTATTTAAATTGTGCACTAAGTAATTTTTGTATGACGTAAATTTGTTTTATATTTTTGAAAATATGATTTGTGGTTAAAATTTATTAAATTTTAGTATTGCTCTCTTAAATTAAAAAATCATGTAAAATATCTTACATCTTTCATTAAAACCGACTAGTTAAAAAAAAATTGTTTTTAAAAAAAAATATGTTTTTCTTTACTTATCTTCTAGTTAAGTAAAAAAGTTTAATAAATAAGAAATTTAAAAAAATATTATAAGGTAAAATAATCGTAAGCGAAATATTATTTTTTGAAATCAAAATAACCGCCAAACTACAATAACTGAACTTTAAATAGCAATAAAAAACGTCCAGGTACACATATGACCTTGAAATTGTATATTATGTCCAAGAAACATATTAAAATGAATGATTCATAATTGTTTCGATATTTTCTGAATATTGAATAATAGGACTTTTGAGCGACTAGAATTCACTTTCGGATGACTGGCGTCTTACTTCGCGTTGGCGATTACTTAAATGTACTACACGGATGATACTTTTAGTAGGATAGCTCAAAAGTGGAAAAGTGTTTTCTTAAATGTACGCTGGCTACCGTAGTCTTATTAAGCGACGTTTCATGTCACCACTCATATGGGCAAAGCACAGCACAAATAAATTGTTAAAAACAAAAAAAAACAGGTGACATGATTTCAAATTACGCTTTATCGACGACCGTGATGCGACGTGTTGACGGATCGCACACTTGTCGGAAGCTCAAATTCCATTCCGGATAGCTAATAACATTTTTACTAGTAAATAATTACTTAGCTTATATTTCACTTACGGTAAAATATAGTGGGGGAATAGCAAGTATACATTGGTATAAAACGGACGCGGATACAGGGTGATTAATTTAACGCATGATATCCAAATTATTCAAAAAATCATTTCATTTTTATGGTTTTTTTTTAGAACACATTTTAATTGTTTAGTTATGTTATTTTTAATTATCGTACCAATTCTCAGAATTGGAAAATTATGACCTTTATCCGGGGAGGCATCGTGACCAGAGTATTAATATTGTAAAAAAACAATTTCATATAAAACAATAATTGCAACAATTAGGGAAAATATTATAAAGTTATTACCAGAGTTACTAAATTTTTTTTTATTTAGGTATATGATTAGTTAATGGACGTCAGTGTACTTTTAAATGCTTTATCATGTTATCTACTTATAATAAATAAAAGTAATATATCCAACAGTAAGTTTATCATAACTAATTTTAGGATTTCTAGCTATGCATATAAAGGAGTTATTTGTATTAAATATTGTACTTGACAGTTAATTAAATAAGTTATAACTGTATGAAGTTGTTGCGTCCCTAACTTTTACCGTAATGACTTGACTACACAAATATATTATACTCGGTCCATAATTTGTTTAGAGCAAACAGTGTCTATTATATGAAATCGAAATACGAGTAGAATGATATTTGAAACAGCTTTGGGTATGTCATGTTCGTTTTTTTTAAATATGAAGCGCAATGCTAAACATTACCTTAAAAAAGCCATACTCTCTTATTTCTAGTGTTTTTGCTGTAAAACCAACGCAAACTTAAAACAGCTGGATTCTGTGTGGCAATGGTTAAACATTTTCTAGGAGTCTCAGACCAAATTCCGTTCCTGCTCTAGCCTAGCGTTCGGTGTACCTACGATGGCTTGTTTTGTATGGATTATTGAATTATTTTTTTTACATATATACCTTTACGAGTAACGGCTATATTGTAATACTAATAACAGCAATACTAGGCGGTATATAATACGTGCGGCGATCTAATTTTGTATGTGTTTAGTACATTATACAAGACTACTCCGGGAACGCGGCCGTAGATCTTTTTTTTTTTCTTAGAGCGAGAGGGAAATAAAATTTAAAAAAAGATGAACAAGAAGAACAAGACAGATGGTGGTACGCAAAATAGTGGTCGGTGTATCTATAAATATAATAGTATGCCGAGATGACGGTTCGGCTAACAACGGCGGCGGCGGCGGCGGCGGCGGCGGCAGCAACGGTGGCGATAGCGGTGGCGGATTGTCAGTAGTCGAGTGTGTGGTGCACGTTTTTAAGTCGCGTTCGTGTCTGGCCTAGTGTGTGCGCGCCCGTGACGTCAAACATAGTTCCAGCATCGTTTTCCGAAAGTTTTCCCCCGGCCGGTTGTTTTTTTCTTTCCGTTCGAATAATGTAACAGTTATTTCTGGTTGACTTTCAATCGACGGCAAAATATTACACGGCCGTTTTTCCACCATATCCGATCGCAGAGTACGACTGCTGCAGCGGCGTGCGCTATGTGTACAATATAAGTGAGATATTATCATGAAAACTATTGTATATAATAATAATAATAATAATGATGATGATATTATAGTAGGTACTTTGACGTTAAATAGGTACATAACGTTTTGTTGGTTATCACCGGGAAACGAGTAACGTCCGTTGGTAACGCAACAACGCGCTTGGTTTAATTTCTCATACGCCACAAGTTCGCATATAGCACTGTTATTATTAATAATTACTACTATATTATGTGTGTTCGGTGTCCAACAACGTAACGACTTCGGTGGGTTTCGTTTTTTATTATTACTACATTGTTATTACTATTGTGTGTGTGTGTGTTTTTTTGTTATCCACTGCCTGGTTGCGAGTGCTTACTTTAATAGCACATGATTTGCCCCAACGATCTGCAAAATGCAGTCCTCAACCGTTGGCGACGTTTTGGCCGGTTTTAGGACTTTTTCTAAAGTTTGCTCGGTCAAAAATCATCAATAACAATCTATATTTATAGTTAATTAAAAAAAATTAATTATGCAATTCATTGTAATAACAGTGTAAGTAGAATCGATTTACTTTGTCGTGTATCTACTTGTAATGTTTTGATTTCTCAAAATCAATTATGAGGGCTATTTTATATAGAGAACAAATACTGGGGAACTTTGGTTAATGAACATTTGAGAATTTTATTTATAAGGAGCTGAGAGTCATCCTTAGCTATATCGCCACCGAGGTCAAGCCGTCACTGTTTCAATGGTAAGCTAGGTATTGTAAATAGTGCAAACACCTATAGAAGCCTTAACGTCTTTTTTTCAGCCGACATGACATATTTATAACAAAAAAATTAAATCAGCCTTGGAAATAACATTTTTTATTTACTTTACAACAATTTAAATGCTATTAGAACCATTTTTTTACAGATATAATAAGTTATGATACTTTTTGTTAAATTGAGGTATTTTGTGGGTTATAGCTATTAATTTATTAAATCTTTCCTTTGGCAAATTTATCTGAGTATTCTTAAAAAACGAGTATTATATTAGTTTTATCAACAATGAAATGTGTTGTTGATATCATAAAGAATTTACAACCGTTAATTATTACTCTACTGTGTATACCACTCAATGGGTTTATATCACCCATTTGGCGTCAATTTATAATTACTACCTTAAAACTATAAAAAAAATACAACGACACTCGAATAATACAAATGATACACATATATTTTGCGCACATTATAAGGTATAATAATAAAAGTATATTATTAATATGTAAATCCATAGTAAGCAAAAAATCAAAAATAATAATACCGCTTTTTATTATTATTTTAGTATTGTTTTCACAATTATGTGTTTTTTTGTTCTATATATTTTTTTTTTGTGTCTGGCCCCACGATATTTTTGCATAGATTTCATAATGTGTAGTACATTAGTTTTAAAAGTTCTCCTCTTCTTCTAAAAATAAAAAAATTAACTAATTTTTCATCTTAAAATTACTACGAGAGTAATTTTTGTTTTTTAATAGCCGAATTAATTCTAAATTTGTATGGAACATTATTATTTTAATACAGCACTATCTTCTACCAAGAAAATATCATTATCCTTTCCCCCCGTAAAGGGTATGAACCTTTTCATTCTTTCACTTTTTGAGGAGTTATAGAAATAGTAAAAAGTGAACTAAAAATTAAAAAATAATTTTATTACAAGAACCATTTACCAATCAATTGTAGCATATTTTATTTAAAATGTCAATTACTTTGAAAATAACCGAAAAATAACTACAATTTTAAATAATGTTAAACATCTTTAATTTTTGACTTAAAACAAAAGCGTGGATCCTATTCAACAAAGTCCAAATTTATTGAGTTAAGTATTATGAAATGTTTGTGTCACACACAAATATTGAACCAAATTTAAAATACGTAAGAATTTACAATATAAAACATTATCTGATAAATTTATTAGGGACTTTGTTGAATAGGGCCCACGCTTTTCTTTTTAGTCAAAAATTAAAGATGTTTAACATTATTTAAAATTGTAGTTAATTTTCGGTTTTTTTCCCAAAAAAAATGAAAAATTTTGCAAGATTTGAAAAATACCCGTACAAACGTACGTACGTGTAGTGAGCTAAAGAAAAACATGTAAAAATAACATAATATACAATTTTTTTTAAGTATATGTAATCAACCTTTTTTATTTTAAAGAAAAACAGGAGGAATTTACATTTTGACGTTATTAAATTTTTATGTTGCTATGTGTAATTATGTTGTTACTTGTTGATTACAATATATTGGTAGCAACGGCAAATACTCATAGGCGATCAACTCTAACCATATCCATAATCCACCATTATATTGAAAAATGATAACAAAGTACGTTGTCTTTACATTGATTTCTATTGGTATTTAAATTTCTACCATTTACAGATTCAATCAGTGTTTTTTTGAACGATTTTATTACTCTCAGTTATAAATTGCTATAGTCCTGTTACTAAACCGACTTCGCTATGCTCCGACCCCTCTCTCCAGGGTTTTTTTTTAATGTGTTTTTCAGTATACATCGAGTTTAAGTGAAGACAGCTGTAAATCATTTAACATTAGAAAACGGGGACACACAAGCGAATGCGGTTAACAATGTCGCTAGTGGTGGTGCAAGTCTATGATAAATGATTACACAAAAAACAACGAAATGGCGTTTTCGTAAGACGCGTTTTAAATTGTATATTTTTAAACACAACGGCTCATAATGAATTAAATGCCACTGATATACATAATGTGCATATATATATATAATATGTGTGTATCAGTGTTTCCATAACATCGAAGGGGACTTAAGCGTTCCGTTTTAGTTTATCTATATATATATATATTCTAATTTGTAGCATAACTGCCCGATTCTATTTATTAAGTTTAATTAACCGTATATACGTACCTCATCTGACAGCTTTGCTTTCGTTGGACATGTTTCATAATATACACAAAATATATATATATATATATATATATATATATACACCTATGTGCTCTGTTTCGAAAAAAAAGGCTGGTCGTTGCTCTCCGTTTTGATGATAATTGGCCTTGAGACAAATGCGCTATAAAACCGTATAGTACGTATATGTATATATATATACATATATAGGTATATAATTGGTGTTTTCTAATAATTAATTTTTCAGACTTCTTCCAAAAAAATTTTCTCGTACTTAAAAATATAACTTCCAGCAGAACAAGAATTCGTGTCTGATATATTCGTTGGGTACTTTAGTCTACGCAGTTAGTAAGTTATTCCTTGGGTAAATCATAAAATGTATTAAAAAAACACTTGTTTTTTTCGATGGGAAACAAATAAAAAAACGTTCTTTCGGTGAGTTCTCTCATAAAAGTACTATCATATGTACTACTAGTTTAATTATTTTAGCAAATATTTTTTTACTGTTTGATAATCAGTTATTACTTAAAGGTAATTTTAAAGAGGTGGTTGAGTAACTTTTTAAAATTAAAGTAATTATCTAGAAATTGTAACAGGTCATCGTGATAACCAGTTTTGAATAATTGCTTTTAAAGTTATTATAATTTAAAATTTAGGATGGAAGGTAGAGTGTGGTTGAGAATGGGCGCAGATAAAAGTAATACTACGCTCCACCATTTTTCCCGTCCTACAATTTCAATTTAAATAACATTTAAAGTAACTATTCAAAACTTGCTATGGACTAGTTAACATTGTCAGCAGATTATTCTATTTTTAAAAATGTATTTGAATAAATACGTTAGCGTTCAATTTTTAAAAAACGCTCTGAAAAATACGAAAAAAGGTAAATTGTAAAATTTAAAAATTTTATTACAACAGATATAAAGAAGATTGAGGCATTTCTTGTTTATATGCTTAATGTTGATGAATGTATTGCAGGTACTTTGTAATTAAATATAGGTGTGTAAGTCGAGTATGGTCTGTTCTTATACGAGTGATTGTGCATTTTTATGGGGTGGGTTAAACCCGATTGTGAGTCCAGTTATCCACTGTTTTTTAATATGTATTAGGTTTTGGTTTGCTGCAAAATTATCCCAATAGTATGTCATGCTTTTTTTAATTTTTTTAATTTTTTACGTGCTTAATGGTGTTATTTAATGAGGTTAAAGGCAGGGTGGTAGTAGGTGTTGTAGCTGTTTGTCTTGTTGTCATGTCTGCTTCCTCGTTGTTTTTAATTCCAATAGGAGATGGAATCCAAAGGAGAAGAAGAAAATTATTTGTTATTGAATACTTGTATGATGTGTTTAATTTCAGTTCCCACCACCATCCCCATATATGTATGGGAAAGTGATTTTATTTCAGAATAATCCGTTGAACTTTATAGATTGGTGAAGATTTTCTTAAGTGCTATAGATGGATTGGTGTATTTTTATAGGAATCTGTATTGTACTGGGAAGTATTTTATTGTGGCTTAATCTCTTCTTTGTTGAAGAATTTTTTCTCATATGTAAATGTTTACAACTTAACTGTTTACTAGACTCCGTTCTATATGTCCTCAAAGCTAGTCTTAAATCTTCATTATGGATGGAAACAATAATTTGTAGTGTGTTTGGTTTTTCCGTGTTAAAAAAGTATGACCGAATAATCCACTAGGGATAATATTATGAATTACTTAGTTCGATGAACTAGGGTTTTGAGTTACTTATACTTTTCTTGATTTGCTAATTATTTTGGCAAAAAATCTCTGTTATTGATCTTAAGTTCAATTAATCAAAATATCAGACAATATTTTGATTTTTTCTCACTTTGAACGTATTTAATTTGGACCATTGTCAACTTGTCAATCTATAAAACTCTTTAATATTGCTTCCACGCTGGCTGTTATTACCACACCATAGACTATGTTTATATGATAGTTCATTAAACTGTATAATATTTACATTCGTCAAGTTTTATAATGCATGTAACTTATTGGGCATTTTTCAATATTGCCTACTAGTACCCCATTAGTTATAAATAATATAGATAGCCCACCGTCATGTACTTTTTGCTGCGCGTAATATGTT